TGGAGGACAGCTGACAGATGCATTCCAAGTAAGGACCGGAGTCAGACAAGGCTGTTTATTCTCTCCCTTCCTCTTTCTTCTGGTGGTCGACTGGATTATGAAGACCTCGACATCTGAAGGAAAACACGGAATACAATGGACAGCTCAGAATCAATTAGACGATTTGGACTTCGCAGATGACCAAGCCCTCCTATCGCACGGACACGAACAAATGCAGATAAAGACAGCCAGTGTAGCAGCAGTCTCTGTCTGCAGCAGTAGGCCTCAGCATACACAAAGGGAAAACCAAGGTCCTCAAATTCAAAGCGGAGAACAGCAATCCAACCACTCTTGATGGCGAAACTCTGGAAGATGTAAAATCCTTTACATACCTGGGAAGCATCATCGATGAACAAGGAGGCTCAGATGCAGACGTAAAGGCGAGGATTGGCAAGGCAAGGGCCGTATTCCTACAGTTGAAAAACATATGGAACTCAAAACAACTTTCAACCAATATCAAAGTGAGAATCTTCAATATCAACGTCAAGGCAGTTCTACTGTATGGAGCTGAAACTTGGAGAACTACAACAACCACAATCAAGAAAGTACAAGTATTTATAAATAGCTGTCTATGCAAGATACTCAACATCCATTGACCGGATACCATCAGCAACAACCTACTGTGAAAGAGAACAAACCAGCTTCCAGCTGAAGAAGAAATTAGGAAAAGACGATGGAAATGGATAGGACATGCATTACGAAAATCATCAAACTGCATCACGTGGTAAGCCCTAACTTGGAATCCTGAGTGAAAGAGGAAAAGAGGAAGGCCAAAGAACACATTACGTCGAGAAATAGAAGCAGGTATGAAAAGGATGAATAGGAACTGGCAGGAGCTTTAAAGGATTGCCCAGGACATGGTTGAATGGAGAATGCTGGTGAGCGGCCTATGCTCCTTCACGAGGAGTAACAGGCGTAAGTAAGTAAGCATGCACGCTCATTGGCTAATTCTTATCCAATCAGTGCTAGTCGATACTTGGAGAAGACTCTAGAAATCTTCTCATGTAAAAACTATAAATATACTAACGTTTTTCCTATTGTGCTTCTTGCCTCCATCTAACCTTGTTATTTGGAATGTAATCTCTTTCCTGTGCAACCGTATTCTGATTTCGGGACTTGTCGAGTGAATTGGTGTCCAAGATTACTAAGCAATAGGAATAGCTGCGTTGTGTTAAGCGAGGGCAGGACGAAACGTTTGTTACAGATCCCACAGCTAATCAATATCTAACTTTACTAAATTATTTATTTATTTGTTGCTATTCCAGTTTCTGTCTGTTTCCTTTCCTCTTCTCGTTAACGTTAAGCTTTCCACTACTAATCTCTGCTATATGCTACTTATATATGTCCTCACAAGTAGTGCACACCGCATTAGTAGTTATATTGATACTTAATAATTTAGTAGATAACGTGTTAGTGTTTGAAGTAAAAGGTACTGGGTTCGAGTCCCAGAGTGAATATGAACATGGACATGGGTACATTTAGTCAATAACTCCTAAATAGAAAGAAACGTATATTCTGGATTCCGTTGCTAGTAACAATCTATTTATTTCTTCGTGTACTTGCACAGTAAATGAAATTTTAAAGTCAAAGTTTACTAGAACTCATCGATTTATGCTTAACAACATATTTTCAATTCAACAACAGAATTCACGAACAAACAAAACGGACATCGATGAGATCACCAATATCAGGATTTATTGTAGAAGCAGTGATGCAGAGACTAGAAGCCTTGATCTTACCAGTGATCAAGCCAAAAATTTGAATTCGTTATGTGGACGACACATTAGTCATCATCAAAAAGGACGAGCTGGAAATCATTATACGTAATCATGTAATCATTCGCAAAATAAGCCGTTATCAAATCAAGATATAACTTGTGGCGGTTTAGATTACTAATTTGTTGGTTGTTTGAACGAATACCGATCAATCTTAGTAGGGATTTGTAAGCATATCGTACGGGTCACCTCGATATAGCCATTATGATACTGTGGTGTGTACTACTTATATTGACATAAGTAATAGATGATGTTAGTCATGAACAGAATGTTTGGCAGCAGAGAGACAAGAGGATCGAACAGTTAAGAATGGAAACAGAATGCAATTTGTATGAAAATGTAAGGACAATGAAGTCTGAGTCATTACGAGACAAGTGATGAATATTTTGCAAATTACGTATTTACTATTTGATTGTTAGATTTTAGGAAGTGCTGTAATTTTGTGTTGTTGTTCCCACTCGTGTTCTGTTCACTACAATACAAGTTTATATGAACCAGATAAAAAGTGACCAGTAGTTCAGTTCAGAACTCGTGTTTGATACTATCTGGGACTCGTCATGTGGGTGCACTTTTGTCTGAATTAATGTTCGCTCTGAGTTTCGAACTAATTACCTGTGCTTCAAACGTCAATGAGTTATCCACTTAGCCATTGAGTCAAAACAGCTATCAACTTTTGAAATGGGCAAGAATTCTGATTGAATTTGTAATGGTTTGGATTATCCTGTTGTTCTTGATATTTTGACTGATTTTTAATACGTGTTAGCTGGCACCAACTCTGACAAGCAAGTGGTCCAGCTGACGTGTACTGAGATCGAACGAAGTAGACATTATGGACTCCACTATTAACCACACTATATATTCCATATAAACATGATCAAATTTAGCTCCCTTTTGCCTTTTTATGCAAAAAAAATGATTTAAAAAAAACAACACCTATGATCTATCGTCCAACAACAGAATGTCCTAACTTTTTTTATATACCATGTGCAACCATACAATATAAACCATAATGATAAAGAGGATAAAACAGTGAATAACGCCCTAACAGTAATAATAACAATAGCTATTATTATTATCATTATTATTGATGTTTACTATGGAGTCGTTTTTGTTGAATGTATACAAAACAATGACATGATAAGTAACCTAAACGAGGTCAATTTATGGTTGTAATAATAACAATAAAATACTAAAACTAATATTAGTTCTATTTTGGTCGTTTTTATTTATTTCTATTAAATAAACTCAATTATTTAATAAATATGATTAAACAGAAAATGTTAGTGATCATTAAAGGATAGGAGTTTGTGGGAATTGTCGAACTCTTGTAGTTAGCATCATGGTTTTATCGTATTTAGATAATTGTCAAAAACTTAGAAGCACCAGATGGATGTTCTATCGTAGAGTGAGACACCGTAGTGATAGTGCTTAACCACAACCCATTCACAAGGGATAGAATCTAGAACTTTTATTTCGCATAAAGGATTTTCAAACTTTCAGATCTCTGGGTCGTTATCTAATGGTTAAGTTGTCCAGTACTTTCTGGTTTTTAACGGTTGTATAAGTAAGAACCGTCTATGATCTTCATTATGAAAATAGTATTGATATCGTGAGCAAGCACTTGATTGTATATTTATTTATTTTAACACAGATATTGGTACAAGGAGGCACCAAATAGATATGCGCCATACAAATCTCATTCGATATGTGTGAGGGCTGTGATACTACCAGGGTGCCCAAACCGAAGCAGGTAGTTTCCATAGGGGACCATACCCGGAGACTTCGACCTGAAGATCTGATCCACAAGGCAGTGGAGCATCGTGAGGAGATGCAGTCCGATGGTAGCCGGTGACCAACAACTGGTTCATACACCACATTTTCCTTCAGGATAATGGAGTCCATGTGCACCATTCGTTTTAAATCAGGGTTCTCCAACTCCCCTAGGTGGACTCTCCATGTCCATCAACCCAGTTAAAGCGCCAGACATTCGCTTTTCATCCTCTCGATTTCGCAGACAACACCCGTAGTGCGAGAACTCAGTGAGTAGGACTTCCCTGGCAGAGGCTGTATACACGTGGTCATGTGAGAGCATTTCGAGAGGGAGAGCGGATTCTTCCCATTCTCGGCCGTGCCAAGGCATTTGGGAGCACACTTAATTGAGTGGATTGTGACTGACCTACAGTTTTTCCAATCACTTATGATGTGTGGTCATATCTTAACAAGGAGTAATTATATAACTTTTTAAGTTTGTTATTACTGTAAATGGGTAGATAGGTCGAGTTTTGTTCTCTGAGTTAAGTAGCTTAATCACGGATGACACTGAATGCTTCACAGTCAAGTCATCCAGTTGAGAGAAAAAAACTTATACCATCTATTCCCCTATCTCAACTGTATGACTTTCTTAATACTTTCACCATAAAGCTTTACTAACGTCTTATGCTCAAAATCAAATGAATTCCTGTAAATGACTGACAGTGATAAAAATCCTTATTATGGTAGCAGTAAGCAAATCTCTCGGACGACGATAATATATCCAAGTATAAAATGACAATAAACAAATTCTAAGAAAACATTTCCTGGTGTAGTTCATAAGCTCAAACATAATTGAATGGTATATTATTACAATATCCCGAACCTAAAGACCATTATAAACGAATAAGAAGAAATTTTAATCTCTGATTATCTGAACCCTCAATATACACTCTAAATGCAATAGAGATCAAACAAAACTTATCTTAGACATTTCAGACATCCATTTAAGCCTATAAAATGACGAAATTGGATGTATGATAATACAAACTATATTTTAAAACTTCGATCTCTAAAATTATACGTTGATATTTATGAACTGGTGACAATGAATAGAAGTTGATGTAAATCATATCAAACAACCATTCCAAGTCCAACCTAGTACATTGCAATGTTTTGAAAATGTTGCTGTAGCATAACAAACATCTGTCATTGTAGGCGATTAAAAATGTAGACCACATATTCAACTCATCATCACTTCAGAGATAAATGTAGAAGATTTAAAAATCTAGAAATGCTGGTACCACCATTAGCTAAAGATATTTACACTGATAGGCATTTAATATGAAAAAATTATAGATTGATAAGCACACTGATTAAATGAATAAATCTAAAACCTTAAGTATTAGGATAAATTAAAATAGTGCCTTGACTAACTTTTTTATATTTGGCTTAACACTAGTTTTGATAAATCCATATTGAAATTCCAAGAGTTCATAAGATTCTGGTTGGTTAGCGACTTTCATAGGATCTTCGCCTCCAATTGCACCAACGACTTTAGATGGATCAATAAAAACATTTTTAAATACAACAACATTAACACCAAAATCATAAAGTTCTGTGCCTGCTCCTTCTATAGTAATTAGATCAAGATGATTTTTATTTCGATTTGTGACATAAATACTGAATAACATGAAACAAGTAAGTATCAGGATAACAATAAATTTAGAAAGAGTTCGAAGGCGAAAATTGAAAAATAGTTTTCTTCGGAAGTGCATGATAAAGTTTGTCTTCTTTATTTACCTGGCCAATTTTTATTAAAACTACAAATAGAAAATGCGAAACGTTTTATTACTTCACAAATGATAACTGAAGAGTTAAATTCATTTTTTGAGTAAATTTACAGTATTTGCAAAATGAAAGCACGCCGCTTACTTTGTTTTTTATTACGAAATTTGAAATCATTAATGGCGATTAAGTCATCCTACCTTGAGCGAGAAGAATACATTAAGCGCTTTTAGCCCTTTATCTTTCCCAAATTCAGTCTTTAGTAATAAGGATAGGAGGTCTGTTGACCTATATTAATCCTTGAAGTTTGTAATACTGTAGAGGTTCAATCTCGTTTTGAATATATTAACAGAATGTGCTGATATTACGTGTTCCGGTAGAAAATTCCAGTAATTCACTACTCGGTGCGAGAAACAAAGCTCCAGACGTAAACGATTTGATCTCAGTTTTTGAACTTTCTTCGAATGTCCTCTCAAATGATCAGTCATAGACGGAAGTAAAAGATAAGACGTGTTAATACCAAGGCCATCGCTCAGTATACGATAAGCCAATATTAGACCACCCCGTACTCTACGGTAAGATAACGGAAATAAGTTAAGGTGTCTCAGTCTGTCTTCATAAGATAGGCCAGATAGACCTTGTACCGTTCTAGTACCTCGTCGTTGGACTCTTTCCAGCATCTCTGCTTCATACATGAAACAAGGACTCGTTGCTTGAATCCCATATTCTAAATGTGATCGCACATAAATCGGGTATAATAATCTAAACATTTCATCATCTAAATACTGGAAAGACCTACGAATAGACCATAATACCCTATAGTCTTTCGCAGCAGCAGCCTCACAATGACTAGTGGTTTTGAGATCACTGCTTAATATGACTCCTAAATCTTTATAGTTTCTTACTTTGAGTAGCACGAATCCAAATATTGTATGATGATACGATTCATCATAGTTATTTAATTGCATTACTACACTCTTATTAGGATTTACTTCTAGTGACCACCTGTCCAACCATGCCACTAATGAGCTAAGGTCATCCTGTAATAATATCTTATCCGATATACTGTGTATGGGTCTCCAAATTTTTATGTCATCAGCGAAGAGTAGAACGTATGATTTCTTTATAGTTGGTAATTCATTTACATAAAGTAAAAAGAGAAGGGGACAGAGAATTGTACCTTGGGGAACTCCACTTTTTGCGGGTTCCCACGAGAAGAGAGCCCCATTTACCCTTACCCTTCGTCTCCTATCATGAAGAAAGTTACTTATCCAATCTACGACTGTATAACGGATTCCAAAACGTTCCAGTTTAAATTTAAGACCGAAATGGGAGAATATCGAAGGCCTTACTTAGATCTATGAAGATCACATCCACAGGAATATTCCGATCTTTTGCAGCAGCCCAATCTTCTCTTGCAATGAGATTTGTCAAACATGATAGGCCTCTCCAAAAACCATGTTGTTCCCTGGAGAAAAGGTTATGCTCTTCAACATAGTTTATAACAGACATCCGAATGATTTTTTCCATCAGTTTTACGACTGCACTAGTTAAGCTAACGGGTCTATAGTTACTAACTAAATCCCTACTCCCAGCCTTATACACTGGACTTATTATTGCGTCTTTCCAATCTTTGGGCAGTCTGGACTGCCTTAGAGACATGTGAACTTGTTAAATCAACGCTTACGTTTTCTTTGAAATGGATATTGCACCTAGATGTTATGAACAAACCTCCGGGATAAACACAACTACATTGATAAAAACATAGATAGTGGTGAGTTTGATTTCGGGAACTTTCAAACAGTAAGAGCAGACAAAAATAGCAGAGCTTAAGAGTAGGTGGGTGACGCTACTAACCTTATATTTCAGGCAAATAAATTCTACTGATAGTTTCTATCGTGAAAGTGGAACATGTGGGATAAAATATCACACTATTTAGTATGCCTAAAATAGGTGTTTAATCATCAACTTAACTTTTCCAACTCACCTAAGGTATCCTCTTGAGATGATGAATTAACGTTGTTTTTGATATTACTCAATTAAAATGTTGCCTGGAAATTCAGTTTGGTTTGCTTCCTGATTAATATCACCTTAGGATTCGTTAAAAGTCAGGGAAACATGAAAAGGTTTTTAGACCTTATAAGGATTCCGATGTAGGGCTGGACAAAAACCAACCATCCACCAAATCCCACTTCTCAAAGTTCCGTAGTAATTATGGAGCCTTTTAATCACTTGACCGAAACCTAATAGTATATCTTTCTATTCTTAATTACAGATAAATTGTGACATCGTCCAATATCGTTAGTTAGCAACTGCGCCCATGTCTAAGACAATTTGGACAGTTTTCACCACATAATGTCTATGTTGTCTTTCAACTCTCAGTAGAATAGGATGAAAGGATCTGATTTCAAGAATTGAGAGGAACTTACGGCTTTATATATTACGTCGTATTCAGGCTTCAGGTTTGTATATTGGGGATATAAGGTCTAAAGCCTGTGTTAGTCCTTTTCTAGTAAGTTTCTAAGAGTGTCTAGTATTCTCTTGAATGAGTCAGTTGAAGGGGCAGATAGCACTTCTTTGCGCAACAGGTTCCAAGAATCGATTACTCTGTATGAAAACATGTATGACACTGTAATATCACCGTAGTGTATTACCATAAACACACGCCTTACTATATTATTAATGACAAACAAAATTCTTAGTCCACTGACTTACGTAGGCATACAAAGTTAAGGTAACAAATAAATATGGAACCATTAATTACATTTCCTTGATCCAGTAACTCGTATATGAAAAGCTCAAAGATGATATGAAATAGTCGTAAATCAATCGATGATCTCAAAAAAGAATGAAAGATGAACTGATAAATGACTATCTGTGTCTCTTAAAAAAATTTAGAGTTTAGATCTTAGTGCTATGAACAATTTTGCGGCCGACTTGTAAACTACTGACAAATGTATGGCGGTACATGAATACCTGAAATAGTTAGTCCTGTAAAACGTCGACATTGTTGATGACCTCATTAGTTTTACTGAACACGCCCTAGCTGAAGCCACTCGATCATGCATCCACACCAAGTTTCAAGTGGGCACACTATGCTACGCATCCCTCGAAACTTCTAGCCAGCTTAGAGCAAACGCTTCCCCACATATAATAACCTTCCAAATATATCTCCGGACTACTTCATTTCCGACTTCTGGTTTGACCGAGTCGACATTCTTTGATTACGGTGTTACGGGCAAAGCCGTTTTCAAAATCCCGAGTATCTGTGGTATCTTTAAATAATTAACACACCTAATTTGTAAGTTTTAGGGATAATGTTGTATATATGTATATTGATAAGAAGAAATTAAGAGGCATTTTCTCTTCATGTGTGTCACGAGTACGCAATATATTCAGTGAATCTGTAGCGGTAAATAAATCCCCAAAATAAATAGCTCTAAGTTTTCGACATTGGATGCTGACCATATGTTTTAGTGGACTCATCTAGCTGAAGGCGCTCGGTCAGGCATCCGCACCAGATCACGTGTGGTAACGCCGTGCTCAACATCAACCGCAATCGCTAGCCAGATTAGATCAGGGATACCCGAGCTCCCAAGTTTGGGAAACTCTTAGGGTTTTTGTGTAATTTCCTCAAAATTTCCCCAAAATGGGTCAAATTTTCCCCAAAATTAGGAGCTCGGGTACATTTTTGAAATTTGAAGTAATTTCGGTTTTAAGACCATTAAACGAAAGAAAATAAGACAATATATTACTTGACAATTAAATTAGCCAATCGAGTTAGCAATAATAGTGACTGAGATATATAGAGGCATAGTTAAATCATAAGTAATGAGGACGCTAACTTGTAATATAACTTAAATCTGTAACCTCGACAAGGTCGGTTTATTTAAAGTTCAATAACCAATCTCAGTAACGTTAAGAACAAACTACTTTAAGTCACTGAACTCATTCACTCTAGATTCTTAGCACTACAACGCAGTCCTAAGCTTTTATATCATCCAGAGTAAGTAGTTCGGTCGTTCAACTACATTAGTCCTGGTTTATATCTCAGTTATTGGATGGTGTAGTATTCTAAACAAACTAACCGTAATGTATACGTGCTTTCCTTGCTAGGTGTTCACATGTAAGAGTTGGGCTCATTTTATGAATTTTTAGATGTGTTCATATATCTAGTTTTATTCATAGAACAACTGGCTGTCTATTTACTCACTGGAAACAGTCAATTTTTATAAATATAATGAATCACCCTAATTGAGATCAGTTGACTGATGTCAGATTTTCACCATGTATCAACATACCTCCGGTTACTAGATTATTGGTCCATAATCGAAGGCATGAAACGTATTCTCATCAAATATTGTATAGCGTTGTAATAAGGTGATATGTTAATGGTTAGCTAAAAAATAAGATATGAGGTAAACGAGCATTAAACTGCAATCAAATACGGACATTTAAGTAGTAAATCCGTTAAACAGTCGCTAAAATCACAATATCAGTATAATGTTGCGCAGAATATTAAGTTTTTCACTGAAGTCTTGAGTCGATTTTTGTTAGACAACCATTAAAAACCAGGAAGCACTGGACGATCGTTTCGTTCTATTTTGTGACTCCTCAATCTCAACCAAGAAATTAATAATCTCCACAACTATATGCTAATAATCACCATGTGCTTACTGTAAGATCCATTTTGAATGCCTTGTGTGTTTGTGAAAATCCCTCCATGTATATACTTGCAGTCATATCTCCACAATCCTCTTAGTTGTACATTGTTGACTTTTTGACTACATTTGAATTGTTAATATTTGTATTTATTATAGTTTTCGTTTATACTACACCTTCACTAATCCCCCGTGTTTCTTTCCGAACTGTACTTATGTTGTTTTACTTTATACTAAGTCTGGGCGGCAGCCATTTTGGTTTGTCCCTGCTTTTGATTGCTTGGCCTGTGTTGACTAGAATTGTGCATTTTGGTTGTGAATTGAAGCACTCTTCCAGAATTGAAAACACTCTGTGTTATAGAGCGACCAATTATCACCTTTTGAACGAATCTGTATGTGATCTATCCACACAGGATAGAATAACATTTATTTGTGGTGATTGGTAATTTTCTTGCATCCTTTACCAACTTTCTTATTTATTGTAATTTAGATTTGATCAATTAAACAATTATTGGTTGGATAACTGAGTGGTTATATTTGTTTAGGTAATAATGTACACTTAAATTTATGATAAATTATAGAACCATCATCTTACCCAGTTACTTTGTTTTGGTTTCAACCGGGCGAGGGCGCGTATCTAACTCATCCAGACAGCTGTCCTTCAATCCAAACCGTAGTTTGGATCTTACACTTACTGGTGACTAGCATCGTGAGGGAATTCTCGGCATTATTGTGAGACGCTGTGACCAGTGGAACTAATCCGTGTTAATGGCTTGACGTTCTCTCTAGTGCTTTAGGTTTTCGCGTTAATCCTCATAGTATCGGACTGTAGGTAATTATACTTACTTATTTAAAGCTGGTAATATCGCTATGACACTTTAAATGAGCTCATATGCTGACAAATCATGTCATCGTTGTAATTTACAGCACAGAAATGAAAGAAATGAACAAATGTGTGTGCAACATCAAATGACTTAAACCTATCAACATTTAGCTGTTCGAGTGCAAGACCAGGTGTCCCTACGAATGAACACTTTCCTTCGTTCGCAAGCTGACATATCTGACAATAGGTTGATTGCAATATAATGGGGTGAGATACCATAATGAGTTATCCTCATTGCAGTGATGACACGGGACCAAATCGATCAGGAGGCATCAGTCCCTCAAGATTACAGGTACAATTTGCTAGTGAGTGCCAAGTGGTACGAAACCTAAGTCCAGGGTTTCCTGTAGACAACCTCCAACCGTCATCATATCTCAGCATGTAAATTTTTCTAATTTTTGCTAATTACCAATTGTAGATTATAATATAGATGACCAGTTACTAATACTAACTGAGCTAGCAAGTCATGGATACTAATCACTATCGCAACATTATAATACACGTGAGCATTAGTCGACGAACTAATAGAATAACGGGTTAGCATCAGTGAAAATCAATCGACTAAGTTAAAGTCAGTGGTAGAATTAATGACAGGCTGAGTTTCTTTATCCGGGCTTACCAATGTAGAATTAATGTATGGTTTGTTTTAGACGTTGATAACCAACACCACAACACCTTCATCCATTTCACGGATGAAATCCTCTATACAATACACTATGCTGACATAACGTCGTGCTTTGTGAGCGTAATATAAGTTTTGCAAAGAATAGTCATCTTCGATTCAGCAGATAGTATCACGAACACTGGATATTGAATCTAGTCCAATATCTTAGTACCTGTAATCTTGAAGAAAACTGGTGCGCTCTGGCGGGTTCGATCTTGTGTCACGCAGCTTCACAGTCAGAGACGTTACCACTGAGCTATCTGAGCCGCGACCGACCGCCTGTAGGACTGAGATGTAATCAAAATTGATTGATCACTGGGTGGCGATCAGTGTCATGCGTGTCTAGTCCTTATTAGTGCAGATCGAGTGCTACCGACCATGTTGCAATATGGCTACCAGTCTAGGTCACTCGACAATGGGTGACACGAGCTCAAATCCACCAGGCAGCACCAGTTTCCTCAAGATTACAGGTACACCTTGCTGACGAGTCCTAAGTAGCAAGAAACCTGTCGCTAGGGTTTTGCTGTCGACTACTAAACGGTCAATTCCATATATTGCAATGCTACCACGTGAGATTCGGCTGATTTTTTGAATGAAACAAGTGAAATGCGTTTATAAACCATTTATAATAAGGTCTAATGCGTTTTTATTTATTTGCATTGTTTTGTCGTGATGGGTGTAAAGGCAAACAATATAAATGTCATAAATTTGCCACCGTAATAAATCTGAGGCTTTCCGAATCAGTAAGTTTCGACGACATATCCGAAGACGTACAAATATAGTTCCCAGGTTTCCTCCGTTTGTCAGTACGTAACGTATTCCAGAGATGATTGAGTTTCTAATGACTTCTGAAGGATCGACAGGAAATAACATTTCTCTTGATTTCCGACTGAAAATCAGAACTTCCGTCTCCTTTTAAAGAGACGTTCCGTAAGATGTACTACGGCTAAGGAGAAGGTATGTCGTACGTGGTTGAACTATATAGTATATATGTCGAATTATGGTCTA